TTTCTGTGCTGTTTTTTTCTTACAGTATTAAGAGGGAAATGAAGTATTTCTTGATACCCTATTGATATCATGAATTTATACTGCCCTCCTGGTCTTTACACTAGGAACCCCTGCAATAGGAAGTTGAGCCAGCACTACTGTTAAGTTGTGGATGAACCAGAACTGGCTGAGTCTTACCGGTTTCCTTACAGTCTAGGGGAGAAAGGGAGCAAATGTCTGCAGGCTGCCACCACCACACATGTGATCAAATCGCAGACTAGCCAGCTCTCTAGTTGTCTGGCTGCAGAACAGATGGCCATTAAAGAAATACAGATGACTCACATATGGCTCACTCAAATGACTGGTTTGTAAATGGCATCTATCGTTAATGTAGCCATGCCCTAGCATCATGGAAAGACCCTCTGGAAACTCGTCCATCAAACCCCAGCCCTCAACATATGGCACTAAGCCCTGAACCATTCCAAATGAGGGAGGATGCCACAAAGGAGTCACACAATCTGCCCAGAAAAAAGGGAAGCAGAGAACCAAAAAATCTCAAAAAGACACCACCTATGTTCATGGCATCAGCCTCATTCAAGAGTCCTGCTGTGGCACTGTAGGCTAACTGCAAGATCTGAATCCATCAGATGCTCCTTAGAAACCCTGTACAGGGTCACCATGAGTCGGAACTGACTCCACGGCACTTCACAGCAAACTTTATCCACAGGCTAATTATTCCCTAACTCCCACTCAACTCCCTGTGATCCTGCTTCCAACTACCAACTAACATCACCAAGTGAATGTCCCAGAAGATCCTCCTCCTCCTCAACCCCAAATGAAACGTGTATCTTCTTCCCACCAAAACGTGTTCCTCTTTCTATTCTTTAATTCCTCAAATGTATTCAGTAAATATTTCCTGAGTGTCTGTCTGGATAAGGAGGTTGAGAAGGGTTCAGCAGTGGACAGACACAGTCCCTGCTCTCTTGGAGCCTGCTCCCTATCTCCATTCTACTTCAGTATGCAGCAATCACTGGTAGCAATCACTCGAGCCTACTAGAGCCATGAGCTTCATCTTACAACTCTTCATTCACCTCTAACTCCGGGCTCGATACACTCACTACCACGTCTTGCTAGTTTTGACTCCAAAACGTTTCTCAAAATTCAGGCCCACATCCTGGTCCAAGACAACAGCAGCCCTGTCCCCACCCTGACTGCAACGTCCTTTGTTTACCAGTCCCTCTTCCAAAACTCTCTTCTTGGAAACTAGCCCACTTATAAACTGCTACCATTACTGTCCAGTAGGTTCCCACTGACCGCGACCTCATGCCTGTCAGAGTTGTTAAATGCCGTTGAGTCAGCTCTGACTCAGTGACCCTGTATAGGATCTCCGAGGAGCAGCTGGTGGGTTTGAATTGCTAACCTTGTAGTCAATAGTCCAGTGCCTATCCTTAAGCACCACACCAGGAATCTGCATGTTGGAGTAGAAGTGTGCTTTTCAAGGGTTTTCAAGAGTATATCACCAGACCCCTCTTCCAAGGTGCCTCTGAGCGGACTTAGACCTCCAACCTCCAGGGGCTGAAAAACTGCCATCAGTCCCCTCTATCTCGAGGCTAAAGAGTTTTTCAAGCCCTTTCTTATCTGACTCCAGCTTTCCGTCCCAGCCATAACTCCGGCTACTCCTGGGCCCAAACACATTAAACCTGGTTATGCTCTGAAAATGTCCTCTGGCCTCTCATGACTTCAAGCCTTTGTTCAAGCAGCTCTCTTCTGCCTCAAATGCCATTTCTCCTTGGTCTTGGTCTACTTGTTGGTGAGGATGGTTGTGTGCTGTGGAAACGATTCCGACTCAGAGTGACCCTGTACAGCAGGAATGGGGAACCATTTCCCTGCCAAATCGGACCCACATGCCTTTGGCTGTGTAGTCTCTGCTGAACAAAGCGTTAGGCATGCGGGACATCTCACAATGGAGGAGGCCCCCTCCTCTGCCAAAAACTGAAATCAGCAAATAGAGCGTCTATAATCAGACTATTACCCATATTCCTTTGGAGACTAATTACTACAAACACTTACCTGATTCCACATTAAGCTTTCCTAAAATAGGGTTTTACATTTACTGCTCAACCTACAGGGCATCTTAATTCTCCCATTCCCAGTGTTGGCTCTTTCTAAATATTGTATGCATTCTTCTTCTCCAGTCACACTTTATTCCTAGGCCCAGGATAAAGCAGGTCCTTTCTCCCTCATGTCACCTCATCTCCTTCTCAGCAAATCACTTGCTTATAACCGTAAATCTAAATGTCAAGATTTACAAGTATGTATGAATGGTTATAGCATATCCTACAAGAAACCCCAAGGGAAGACATAAGTCTGTCAAAGGAAGAATGTAGATTAAAAACAGAGTATGTTTTTCATTCTGCAAAACAAAAGAAAATCACATTTCTTCCATGAGTAGGGAGACCTAAGTCCTTAACAGGGCTTTGGGGTCCTGGTGTGGCACTGTAGGATAAGCACTCGACTTCAAGGTCGGTTTGAACTGCAAGGTCAGTGGTTCAAACTCACCAGTTGCTCCTTGGAAACCCTATACAGGGTCTCTAATGAGTCAGAACCACCTCAACGGGACTTAACAACAACCAGGCTTTAGATTGCACTGCCTGTACGTGTGATACAGAACTCCAAGGAGTGGGATAGACCAGCTTCCGCCCAGCACATGGAAGGCCCCAGAGGCTCACCAGTTCTTCCCTCAGCTTTCCGAGTGTCTCGATCTGGTTAGTGCGCGTGCTCAGCACACCCGACAGCTTCTCCATGAGGATGTCGTATTTACTCCTCCTGCAAGAGACACAGTACAGCTCATTCTTCTCTAAGACACTACAGCCTGACTCTGTTTTGGCTGCTCTAATTTCTAAAGGCACAGCACACACGGCTGCAATAGAAGAGCAAGCAGATGGTTTCATTAGAACACACTGACCTGTCCACATGAAAGCGGTTCAGGAGGAGGAGGATCGAGTGTTGCTGGGCTCCAGTGGGTAATCGGATCACGTGCGACTGCATCGTAATGAGCCTGTTCTTGTTCAAGATTTTTCTGTGATAGTGAAGTTTCCCAGCATCCACCCTGGGGGAGAGAAAGAGGGTGGCTGTGCCATTTTGCTCTGCTGGTGGCTTTCACCCCACAGTGTACAAAGCCTCTCATTGGGACATAAACATGGGAGGGACACACACTTCTCAACTAAACAACCTAAAAGGACAGTCACCATGAAACCATTGCCATGGAAAGAAAAGCCAATTTCAGCCAAAGAAGCACCCCAGGGCCTCCCAGGAAAGGCCAATGAGTGACAGGGATTACAGGTGAGGTGAGGTGAGATGGAGTGGGAGACCATACAAGGGTAATGAGGAGCTGAGGAGACCAGGATGTCTCAGCCTGCAGTGGACAATACCATTCTGGTTTCCCTGGGGACAGTCACAATTTAGGCCCATGGCCTTGGCATCCCTTGTGGTCAGCTCCATCCTTTTCTGTTATTTTGGTCTGTACAATAAACTGTATGGTCATCTTCAGGCCTTCTCAAAAGGAAAGCTTTGCACTCCCAATCACAACAGGTGACAGGCCCAGGAAGTTACAGGGATGCCAGGACTGGGAGACAAGTCAGAGGTTGCTGGGTTCAGAGCGCAATGCACAGTCAGCCCTGGGAGGGAAGTGGGAAAGAAAGTCCCCTCTTACTTGAAAGCAGTGCTGTGAAGGTCTCGCTGGAGCTCTCCTTCCCACCTGGACCTGCCTAATCGCTCCAAAATGCAGTAAGAGAAATCAGGGAGTTTGAGGTCAGGGTCGCCCTCCGAGCCGATCAAGGCCCTGTAACGCATGTCCTGAGAAGCAACAATGATCAGCTTCTTCCCCCACCTGCGAATCAGGAGCAACCACATGAAAAGATCAAATGTGACTGTGAGAAAAGCAAAACACGTTTTTAGCTTATACCTTATAGAACCTTATATAAGGATGCTGAATTTCAAAAGTTCACATTGTCTCCTAAGTTAGTAAGTTTTCAGGATCTTACGGATACTGTGAATGTGCATAGGTACTCTTGTTCACTGAGGGTAAAGGGTTTGGAAAGGGGGTGACATCAGCATGATGGAGGTGTAAGGTGCCGTGTGCTCCCAGGAGCACCCCAAACAAGCGAAACATCAGTGGTTCCAAAGGCACCTGTTGATGGGGAAGCAAGAAAAAGCCACCTTCTAAATGACAGGAAAACTTTCTGTTTCTGTGTGTCTATAGAGTCCTGACTCTATAGGATAAAGGACACTGCAGGATAAGGGACTAGATGGTAAGGTCGATTTGAAACACAAGGTGGGAGGTTCAAACTCACCAGCCGCTCCTTGGAAACCCTACACAGAGAGGAACTGATTTGATAGCACTTAACAACAACGGAGTACTGGTGTAGAGCCAGAAGATAAGCACTGGACTATTAACTACAAGATCATCAATTTAAACCCACCAGCCACTTCTCGGAAATCCTAGACAAAACTGCTATGAGCAGAGACTAACTCAACTGCACTTAACAACAAAAACAATGGCCCTAGTTTGGTGTTAGTGCTAAAAGTGGACCTTGACCACTTTCCCAGAGAGGGACCCTGTGTGTCTGCAGCTACCCGAAAAACTGATACACAGGGCATCTACCTCAGAACTCACAGAGGGCAGACAAGTGGTAGGCAATGCCTGAAAATCGAAATTCCCAGAAACTGCTTGGAGCTAAGAATCTGACTGAGACTGAGACACACACAATAGATGCCCAAGGACTGGAAGAAGCCCAGCAGAGTTTATTTTAGGAAACTAGGGCATTCAGAAACATGAAGACATTTAGAAGCCACATTCAGGCATGCAGGTTCACAACAAAATGTTCGCACATTCTTTCAACTCAGACTGACCCCACTAAGATTCAGTGCCAGTTCAGCTATGTGTTGAAGGAGTGCGCAGCCCAGAGCCAATGTGCAGAGTGGGAGAGGCATTGTTTTTCCCTCCCCTGGTGGTGTAGACAATCTGTCAAAACACCAGCTAAACACAGCTAAGGATCAGAGACTTCAATGACCACAAACAACCAGGAAGTCAGTCACTGAAAATCAGTCAGGAAAAGCCGCTAAGCAAATGGACTACAACAAGCTCCAAGAATTAAAAACACACAAAACTAGGAGGCAAAGAGAAAATCTGGAGCTCTGGTAGCATAGTGGTTATGAAACGGGCTGCGAACCGCAAGGTCAGCAGTTCAAAACTACCAGCCGCTCCGCAGGAGAAAGATGAGGCTTTCTGCTCCCGTAAAGATTACAGCCTCGGAAACCCTGTACAGGGTCGCTATGGGTCGGAACCGACTCGACGGCACTTAACAACAATAGAGTTAACACACTGTAATACTTAAATGTCCAGTTTTCAACAACAACTAACAACAACTCAAAGTATATAAAGAAAAAGGAATGAATGTCATTCAAAAGAACAAAATAAAGTAACAGCAACTATTCCTGGAGAGTCCAGGTGTGGCGCCACAGGATTAGCAATCAACCTCAAGGTCGGTTAGAACACAAGGTTGGCAGTTCACTCACCAGCTGCCCCCTGGGAACCCTATCTGGTCTCTATGAGTCGAACTGACTCGACAGCATTTAACAACAACAAGAAAGAAAACTATGGACAAAGAAGTAAAGGAAATCAGGAAAAAACAAAATGAGGAATCAATAAAGAGAGAAATTACAAAAATAAGTCCAACAGAAATAACAGAGTTAAAAAGTATAACAACATAAAACTTGCTTAAATGAAAATTTAAGCTGGTAAAAGAACCAGCCCATCTTACTTACGATGGGACAAAACTCTTTAGTCCGAGCAGCAAACAGAAAGAAGGAAATGAACTGTCTGAAAGACATGTGAGGCACCATTAAGGGGACCAATAGCCACATTAGGGAGTCCTAGAAGAAGAGAAGAGAAGGGGGGGCCGAAAAAACATTTGAAGAACTAATGGCTGAAACTTCCCAAATTTGACAGAAAGACATGAATCTTGACATTCAAGCCCAATGAACTCAAAGTAGGATAAATTCAAAGACATTGACCACAATGAGACATTATAATAAAACTCTCAGAAGTCAACGATAAAGAATACTGACAGCAGCAAGAAAAGTGAATTATTGCATATGAGGAATTTCAACAATAACAGAATTTCTCATTAGAAGCCATGGTGGCCTAGGGCCAGCAGTGAGATGATATATTGGAAGTGCTGAAAGAAAAATACAAAACAAAACTCAAGAATTCTTTATGTAAAAGATAAGGCCTTCAAAATAAAGGTAAAATTAAGACATTCCCAGATAAACAAGAGATGTGTGAGGCTTTTTTTTTATCCATGTACCAGGACTACATGAAATGCGAATGGAAATCCTTTATATTGAAAAGACGCTAGATAATAATTCAAAGCTGTATTTCAAGGCATCTAGTAAAAAACAAATAAACATACTGTCATCAAAAGACTCAACTAGAAAGAACAAATAGGTTGAAAGTAAAATATGGAAAATATTCCGTGCAAATAGTAACCAAAAGAGTTGGGATGGCTAATATTAATAACATATATAAACACACTTTATAAATAAGTAAAAAATTGTTACAGAATAAGAAGTATCATTTCCAATTTGATGAACTTGACCTACACTCATGGAGGTAGTAGCTCTAAATACCAACAAAGAGGGAAGGATGCTATCTCCTCTGTACATAGGATAGATAGGGATGGGCAACTTAGACATTGGCTACCTAAAGCGAGGAGGGGGCGATAAAGCTTGTAAGTGACTGGCTTACAAGCTTTCAAGAGGGAGTTTAATAAGAGTGTGTGAGGGAAGATAGTTGTTGTTGTTGTAAGTGCCGTCGAGTCGGTTCCGACCCATAGCGACCCTGTACAGGGTTTCCGAGGGTGTAAATCTAGATGGGTCTGGTAAAAAGATGGGGATAAGATTCTTACGATTCATTATAAGTTAACTGTTATCATGACTAAGGATTTCACAATTGTAAAAGAAGTTTTATAACAAAAATGGGGGAGTAGTTAATCTTACAGTCCAGAAACAGAGGACCCTAGGACCATCAAAGGAGAAGAGCACAAGTGGAATGCGGGACCCTATCCAGAGAAGCAGTGACACCATAGATGGAGGTAAAGATAGGGACATGGAGAGAGGGAGCAGCTGAGGACTCTAGATTCATGGGCAGCGAGGAACTGAGAGCTGGTGGCTAGGAGGCAGACTTGCAGAATGTGCTCCTTGGTGGTTTAAATTATTATATATGCCTGAGTGTTTTAAATAAAAAGAAAAAAAGAAAGAAATACCAGGAAGATGTTTACCTGTATTTTATTGACTACACAAAAAGGCACTGGGCTATGAGGACCATAATGCAGTGCAGTAGGATACTTCATATGTGGCACTGTAGGATCAGCTCTGGACAGCAAACCATAAGGTTGAAGTTCAAACCCACCAGCTGTTCCTTGGAAACCCGACACAGGGTCACTACAAGTCTGAACCAACTCAATGGCACTTAACAACAACCCATAGTCTTTGTAACTCCCACCAAACAACATTTTTGCCTTGCTGGGTCTGGGTAAGAGAAGATGAGAGAAGATGCTGATATAATTATATTATTCAGTTGTGAGAGGTTAACTGTAGATAAGGGTATTAAATGAGCATCTCATAAAAGGAGCATGGGAGGATATCTTACTACCATCCAATAAGAGCCAGGGGTGGACCGAGTCCTTTGGAACCTGAGATCCATGCATACTGAACCTCTTTCACCCAGAGACAGAAAGCTGTGACACTACAGGAGTGACAGAGGAAAAGCAGCAGCAGAACCAAGAGGCAGAGCAGTGGGATTCTCAATCCCGCTGCAGAGTGACTTTGGGCAGAAGAGAGGGGGAGCCTAGGTTTGCGGGAGGAGCGTGCCTTCAGGCTGAGTCTTAGGGTGGAGTGGTGTGCTGAGTGAGCCTTCAGCAGCAGCTCTGATTCCTGCTGTGCTGCTCTAGCACTGACTGCTAACCATAAACCCACAGGTACTCCTTGGGAACCTTGTTCAGGGTTGCTATGAGTAGGAACACCAAGGTGGCTCTGTAGGATAAGCATTTGGACCACAAACCACAAAGTCAGAGGTTCAAGCCTACCAGCAGCTCCTCAGAAGAAAGATGAGGTTTTCTGTTCCCACAAAGATTTACAGCTTCAGAAACTCTGTATGGTCGCTATGAGTCGGAACTGACTCAATGGCACTTAACGAGTCACAATTGCCTTGATGGCAAAAGAGCGTTTGTAACATTGCCAGAGCAGGGTAGAGGTTTGGCCAAGGGGCCAAGGGCCAGAAAGAGGTCTGCGTGTGGGCATGGCAGAGGAGAGACTATACTGACTGTAAGAACTGAGCTTTGAGCACTTCCTGATCTGCCATTGTAGCCTGTTAATTTCCCTAATAAAACCCATTAACTACGAGGATGGTACCTACTTCTGTGTGACCACTGCAATGAATGATCAAAACCAGAGAAGTAGAGGGATGGGCAAATGCCATTATATTTTTCAAATACAAATTATGGATGACAACATGAATGGGAATTCCAGCACACATATTTGTGTTCATGCAGAACCTGTACACCAAGAGGAAGCTGACTGAACAAAACAAAAGCATACTACTGCGTGGTTTAAAAACAGAAAAGGTGTGTGTGCTTTTATCCTTATACTCACTCAATCTGTATACGGAACAAAGTATCTGAGAGGATGGGCTATAGGAAGAAGAATGCGGCACCACACCAGGATTAAAGAAGACTCATACACAACCTGTGATATCCAGATGATATAACCGTGCTTGTGGAAAGAAAAGACAACTTGGAATAGCAAAGACTCCATCTTTTAGTATGGATG